GGCGCCTGCCACTTTGAAGGGTCTCCGAACGGAGGCTTGATGAGAAAGCAAACATCACGGCCCTTCCCTGTATGAAGTCACCTCGCAATGTGAATCGATACACTACTCACAAACGGTTCAGAATTTGGGGCTTTTGTGGGAACTTTTACGGATTCACCTAAAAAATTTGCTGCGGTTAACGTCATCGCATTTTCTGTGTTTTCCTGATGTTATTCCTCGGCCCTGACCAATTCACATCATCGGATGATTTTTATTTTTTATTAACATGTTCAAACATTAAAAAGAGAAATAGACCACAAAAATTTTTTTTGACACCTGTAGGATTTTGGGGGAACAACCCCTGTTTTTGGGAAAAATGCTTATGATGCGATTAGCCGGCCATTAAATGGATTACCTCCAAGACAGACAGTCAGATAAGTCGTGTGTGATGAGCTGTTAATTGGATTTCTGCTGTGTCGTACTTGCAGACACTTGTTTTCCACAACAACAACCACCACCACCAACGCCCTTGTTGCCATGACAAGAAACAATGAAACATCAATTAATTGCGCGGAATGAGTACAAATTTTTCATTGTTTTTCAGAGCCGTAAAAAAAACTAACAAAAAAAAAACCCCAAAACACTTCCTCAAATGTTATCCAAGTATGCGATGGAATAATCGGTTGGATCGGAAGAATTCCAAAAAAGGCTTGTAGGTGCCTTTAGATGCCACACGATGGCAGCAAAGCACTGATAAAGAAGACTTGGCTTCCATGTTGATTGTTTGTCACTGGGGTGTAACAACACAGGCAAAGGATAATCGGCAAAGCTTCAGCACCACACATCTAACATTTACGCGACCGTGAACCCATGTTACATAATACCGCATTGTTAGCCACATCACAACTTGTGATTCACGAGCATCCGTTTAAGAAGGGACAAGGCAGAAGAAGAAAAAACTTGTTCAAGCTGACGTGACATCACACGCGGGCGAACAAACGTTCGCCGTTGCGTTTTACACTGAGGGTCCAAGTCATGAAACTAGTTCCACATGAAAACAAAGGTTTAGATCGATAGGCAAATGATCACATCACAGTCGACTGCCACAGCTATGAGGAGCTGGACTGAGCGAGAAACTAAAACATCATTTCACATTCGACGTTGCACGAGGAGCATTTAGGGATGAGTTTTCAGCCATATGTTCTCTCAAATTTGAGAAGGGGGAGGGGGTTCACTCGAATTCATATCAGGGCTTACTAACTCGTGGATATTCAGAATGCGTCAAAAAGTTCAAATTCCATGTGTGGCAGACGACAACGAGGGAAGCAGCAGCGACACGGCGCCTCTCTTCCAGATGGCCGGCGACGGCCGCAACACGGACGACGTCACCCTGCCCCTCCTCTTCC